ATTTCGAATAGCTGTCATTTCATGTTTTATCATTTTTTCCAAATTCTGAAACATTTCTATCATCTCCTTCTTATTTGGTGCTTGTAGTTCCCCATCTGATTCTCTTTTTCCCGGGCCATCCTCTATTTGTTGGCTGCAGCTGCTATTCATGCCCAATGATAATCTCGGACTATTACCTGAACTAGTGTCCATTTCCCCTTTTGTGCTTGCGCAGTGGGCCCTTTCTGGCGTAATATTTCCATATGATGTGAATTTCTTTATTGTTCCTGTTTGAGACCCTTTGGGCCCTGCTACCTTGGGACCTTTATTCTTCATATCCTCTGTAAATTTCTTTTAATAATTTTTTCTTTCTGTATCCTCAAGATGGGATTATACTTCTCCTTTATAATTGCTGGACTAAGCACACTTGCGATTTTTTATGTTTTATTTTCCTAGGACACCTGGGCCTCCTCTCTTCTTCTCTTCCAATCCCTGGGAATCCTCCCCTCCCCTCTTTCATTACCTGGTCTCCTATGTCACTCAGGGGTCCCCAACACAATAAGCCCCCAGTAGCTCTCACTCACCCTTCCCTTCTCAGGACGGTGGTTCCATGCTTATGCGGAGGGCCATCACTGCTGCTCAGTCCTGGGGGGGGGGGGGGGGGGGGGGGGGGGGGGGGGGGGGGGGGGGGGGGGGGGGGGGGGGGGGGGGGGGGGGGGGGATTCCTCAGGGTTTCCAATGCTGTATTATTTTTCTTTCCCTTTTCTTTCTTCTTTCTTTCTCTCCTTTCTCCCCTTTCCTCTCTCACTCCTTTCCTCCTTAGGATCCGTCCCAGGGAGGCAGGATGGGTTTCCTGGGATTCCTGGGTCCACCAGGCCCAGGCACGGACAGCCAGCCAGGGGGGGTTTAGGCAGCAGTGAGCGTCTCCCAGTCACATTGAGGAGGCAGCCGGCTTCCACTTTCATCCGACTCTCCTTCCTCCTGTCAGCCTTCGGCCAGCCGGCGTCCCTGCTTCCCAGGGATGCACCGCGGCTGGTCACGTGTCCCGGCCGCGCCTCCTCGTCTCCCAGCAACCAGGCTCAGCGTCCCAGTCTCTCTCCACTGCTCTCCGGCTCCTCCAACCGTGCACCGCTGCCCATCAAGGTAAGCCCATCCGGCCGAGGTATGTCTCCGCCATCTAGGGCTTCACACCGCTGGGGGGAATTGAGGCCGAAAATAGGGGGGGTCGGTCAGGGAAGGCTCGTTGCAAGAGCTCCTAGCACGAGCTCTCCGCCGCCGCCATCGTCCGCATTAAAATCGCATTACTCTGCTTAGCGCATGTACATGAGACTTATTCTAGATTAGATTACATATTAGTAGAACATCGAATGATAGAGTTGGTAGTGGAAGTAAAAATTGGAGGAAGCACCCTGTCGGATCATGCCCCAGTTGCAATGAAGTTAAGATGGGGTAGAGAGGGGAGAGAAGGATATGTATGGCGGTTGAATGAGGCACTTCTCATGGATGAAGAGATTGGTCAAAGAATTGAGAGGGAAATTGAATGGTTTTTTGAAGAGAATGAAAGAGGATGTGTCGGTTGCAACGGTGTGGGAAGCACATAAAGCCTACATCAGAGGTCTGCTCATTGCAATGAGGGCAAAAAAAAAAAAAAAAGAAAGGAGAGAAAAGATAAATAGATTATTAAATGAAATGTATGATCTTGAACAGGTGCATAAAAGGGAAAGATCGAAGGAGATAATGCAGCTGTTAAGAAAGAAGAATTAGAGAATGTAATGGAGGAGGAAAAAAGAAGGAGTCTTTAATAAAATAACATGTGAAAGGTATAGATGGGGAGATAGGCCGGGAAAGTATTTTATGAGAACTTTAAGAAAGAAGAAAAATAGAAATTATATTGAGAAAATAAGAAATCCCAAGGGGGAATTTGTACACTCAACCAAGGATATTGCTAGAATATTTAAAGAGTATTATAATGAGCTGTATAATATCATACCTCAGGACACGTTTAAGAAAACGAAAACAGTAAATAGAGGGAAAAAAGACATACCTAGAGGACGCAGGCCTACCGAAATTAAGAGAAACACAACTGAACTCTTTAGAGGCAGAAATAACTTCAGAGGAAATAAAAATAGCGTTAAAAAGCATGGCGGAGGGAAAAGTCTGGGTCCGGATGGATATACAGTTAAATACTATAAAAAATATAAAGAGCTTTTAATACCAAAGATGAAGATTTACATGAACGCCTTGGGGAATGGGATGGAGATAAGGGGAGAATCTTTACAGACTAATATAGTATTGATACGGAAGGAAGATAAAGACCCCGCGCAATGTGCAAGTTATCGACCAATAGCGCTGTTGAATGTAGACACTAAAATATATGCAAAGGTTCTGGCAAATAGACTGAAAGAGCTGATGCCGGAGTGGATACATAGAGACCAGGTGGGGGTTTGTCTCAGGAAGAGAGGGTAGAGATAATGCTTTGAGATCACTGTTGCTTATACAGGAGGGTAAAAAAGGGAAAACCCCAATGATACGGATGTCGATAGATGCTGAGAAGGCATTCGACAGAGTGAGTTGGGGTTTTATGATGGATACCCTGGAAGCGTTAGGAATGGAAGATAGAATGAGAGGGTGGATTGGAGAGTTATATAGGAGGTCCTACCGCTACCATAATGGTAAATGGAGGAAGATTGGAGTATTTTAAGATGTCAAATGGTACAAGACAGGGATGTTTATTGTCTCCATTGTTATATATGTTATCACTGGAGCCCTTACTGTCCATGATTAGGAAGAACATAGGCATAAAAGGAATAAAGATAGGAGACAGAGAACATAAGGTAGTGGCTTATGCGGACGATCTGATGTTTTATGTTGGAAACCCCAGAACATCACTTCCAAATTTAATGAAAGCATTGAGGGAGTATGGAGAACTGTCGAACCTGAAAATTAACCCGACAAAGACCGAAATCTTAAACATAAACCTTAAAAACAGCGAAAAGGAAAAATTACAAGAGGAATTCCCTTTCCTTTGGAGAGACAAAGAATTAAAATATCTAGGAATAAAACTATCAGCCTCAATTAAGAACCTATATAAAGCCAATTATATAGCATTATTAAATGAGATTAAGGAGGAGCTGAGGAGAGTGGGAAATAGAAACCCATCCTGGATAGGTCGCATAAACTTGATAAAGATGGTAATTGTCCCCAAAGTATTATACAAATTTCAAATGATCCCAATCAAACTCCCAGAGGCATATTTTAAAGAACTTAGAAAAATGATAATAAAATGTATATGGAGGAATAAAAAGCCTAGAATAGGTTATGAAACGTTGACTAGAAGTAAAGAAAGAGGAGGATTGGGGGTACCAGATTTTAGGAGATATTACAAAGCGGGGACTATCGCGAGAATCTTCGACTGGATTCATAATCCAGAGAAAAGTTGGGTTAAAATTGAGAAAGCACCGAGTGGAATAAGTTTAAGTAAAAGAATTTGGGTACCCGCACAATATAGGGAATTAGAGGAGAGCACTAGCACGTACACTCGTAATGTTTTAAAAGAATGGGATTTATTACACAGACAAAAGGGGTGGGTTTTTAATTCACAATTAATACCACTTAGGAAGACAAAATATTTCATTCCGGGTAAGGATAGCATAGCAGGGAAATGGATTATAAAACAGGAGGCGCAATTGAGAGATATAATGGTAGGAGAGGAAATCGGGTCATACAAGGATATGGAGGAAAGAAAGGGAGAAGTCTTTAATAAGATGGATAGACTAAGATATTACCAACTGAAGTACTTTTTTGAGAGCCTTCCAAAGCCTATAAGAACTAGAAAAGACTGGAATCCATTTGAGAGAATATTTGAGTCACGGGGAAATGGTAGACACGGAACGGCAAAAATACACGAGATACTAATGGAACTTGACACCGACACAAAATTAATGCACACAGAGAAATGGGAAAGAGATATGGGAAGAAAAATAGAGGAGGAGGAGCAGAGGAAAATGCTCACATTAATTCACGAAAATATTAGTATGAGGGAAGTAGAAATAAATTATAAGTGTTTGAATAGATGGCACATTACCCCTAACGTGGAGCACAAGATGAATACAGAAATTTCACAGATGTGTTGGAGAGGTTGCGGGAGAGGTGGGCACGTGGTATCATATGTGGTGGGAGTGTCCAGAAATACAGGTGTTCTGGCGAAGGATAGTTTATTTGATAGGGAAAATTACCAAAATCAATATAGGATTAGATCCAGAACTATGTCTCCTCCATATCTCAGAACTCTCAGTGAAAGCATATAAGAGTTCGGGGATATGGCATTACTTTACCGCAGCAAAGAGCCTGATACCCAGGTTCTGGAAGAAAAGAGAGGTGCCAACTGAGGATTGGATGGGTAGAGTAAATCAGATTTCTGGGACAGAAAGATTGTACTATACGCATGAGGACAAGTTGGAGATGTATAATAAAAAATGGAAAGGCTGGGAAGAATATAGAGAAAAGGTGAAATATATGAAGAGATAATATCCCTGGAAGTGGGTTTAGAATTGGGTATAGGAACAACAGAATAATATGGAGTTAATGAGAGAAGAGAAAATGTGGAGCGTGGGAGGGAGAGGGGAGGGGAGGGGATAGGGGGATAGAGGTGGGGGTTATGGGAGGGGGGATGGTAAGAAAAGGAAGTTATATATAATAAAATTATATAAGGAGAAAATACGGTTTTGATAATTATTTTAATAGAAATGTTGAAATGATCTGTATATGATTTGAAAAATTAATATTTATTGAAAAAAAAAAATGTTTTTTGTTGCCTACTTACAATTTATTGTAGTTCTTGGCAAGCCATTTTTTTTACTGAAAATATAGATTTCATAAACATTTGCATTTCAATTTCTCTGTCTTAGTAAGCTGCCCCCATTACCTATGGATCACCTGACTAATTTTTTTTTATCTCACCTGGCTGAAAAAAAAAATATCTAGGGAGAGCACTCTGATGTAAACTATAGTATAACACTCACCTGAGCTATCCTATGATGCTGGAGCTTGATCACCCTGGAAACTGCCATTTGCATGCTCCCAAATACTGCCACCACTTCTAAAATCTTATCATCAAATGAGGGAGCACCGAATATCTAGGAATGTCAAATAAATATATTTAGGTCACAAGAGCATAAATGTTTCCCATACGTGTAAATACAAAGACGTTTTATACACAGTAGCATTGGATGAGCAATGGTATGTAGTCACCCTGAGCAACTAATCACATTTCACATTTTTGACAGCATTTTTATTTAGAAGGTAGCTTGCTTAGGGGCTGATTTACTAAAACTGCAAACTCTGGTGCAGGTGAGCAAGGTAGCCAATCAGCTTCTAACTTTAGCTTGTTCAATTAAGCTTTGACAATAAAACCTGAAAGCTAATTGGTTTCTATGCAGAGCTGCACCAGATTTTGCACTCTTTAGTTTTAGCAAAACTTCCCCTTAATGTCCTTCTAATCTATTAAAAATGTTCCTATATGTTCAATACACAGGGCAAGATCTATACGGGTTTGGTTCCAAAAATGGCAGTAAGCCAAAGGGCAAAGTGTCTAAATCTAATATGTGAAAAAGCAATATTATGGCGCCTAGATAGGTGAATAAATCAAACAATAGTGAATAATGCCTGCACTAAGCCGGCAATTTATCAGCTGCCCCAAAATAGTGAAATACACTTAAAACAAATAAATACATAAATAGGTAGGCACTATATTTATTTCTAAATCTAACATTTAGAAAGCGTAAACTCCAATCCACTTATAAAACAGGCACTGCTGTGAAGCTTTATTGCTATAATTGTTTTGTGTCAGCACTAGATTATATTTTTTACCCGAAGTATTAAAAAAAATCTTTAACCCAATTTGGGCTACAGATACTAAATCAGAAAATTACCACCTGCACCTAAACTTTGTGTTCTTTACGAAAGGGTGGTAACAATAGTCTGTTTCCATAATTAGTATTTCTTGTACAATACCTATTTTTTCCTGATACAGAACATGAAATAGAACCAAAAAAAAAATAAATCTTAATTATATAATGTTTCAAACATTTTTGGGCCAGTTCACACCATAATTGCACAACAACATGGTCCATGCTCCTGTGTGATTCTTGTGCATTCCACTAAAGTGAAATTTGGCAGCCCATTCATTTGATGAATGGGCTGCAAATCGCACTTGAATGTACAAAAGCAGTGTTTGCTCTACTTTTGAAAAACGTGCAGCACCAAATAGCATGATACTGCAGAACCATGTGATTTGGTGTCCACAAATGCAGTGCAGTTGAGATCTGTGCTTGGGGTGCTGTTAACAACATACTGGTAACCACAGCAGATAGAGGCAGTACAATTTTAATGTGGTACAGGAAATGCACATGCAAAATGCCTTTTCCACACCATGATCTGGTGTGAACTGACCATTAAACAGAAACCTCCAGAAACACTATTAATGTTCCTCATAATTTTCTTGCTAAATGCGATATCAAAATTTATATTAACTCCACTTTTGGCTGATACTAAAAATGTAAAATTGATCAAACCTGTATTTAGTAAGAGACATGGTAAGTTTTTTGAAGTTGTAATTTTTTGCCATAATTTTTTGGAAAACGAATTAAATAAAAATTTGTTTTTGGTTTCACTTTTTTTTTCTTTTACATACTGTCACCAGTACATTGGCGGTGATCAGGGATACTGACTGATGACAGCATGTAAATACAATATGTTAAATTTTTTAAACTTTTTTTTTCTTTAACTTTTTTTTTTTAATACAATCAGTAGTTCGGTGTCACCATAGTGACAGTGTACTACTCTGGGGGAAGTGATCAAGGATTTTTTTTTTGCCATTATAAGCAATAGTTTCAGTTGTTATGAATAGGATTATGACAGCTTAATTACTGTTAACATGCTGTGATTGGCTACAGCTAATCCCCTGCTATAGATAGCCAGGTACCATGTGATATCTGTTAGCCAATCACCACTTCACAACACTAAGTAGTCATAAATGGAAACCATTCATGGCTGTTTTGTTTACACTGTAATCATGTGATTGCTATGACCAAACAATCACAATACCCCAGACGTATCGGTACACAGGATACAGCAATCGCAGGAGTGTCACCCTGCGCGCCCATGCACAGGCGACATACATGACTGGGCCTGTACCTGCCACCTACTTGCAGTATATTTACTGTGAGCAGTCAGCAGGTGGATATACCTTTTTGCAGACTTTTGCATTTTGTTATTCTGAAGAAATAGCTGTTTGTCTGGTTTCAGAATTATCAGGCAAAGCTCTAATGAGGAAAGTGGTTGCATCCCTTTAGATGTGATTTCCCTTTGGGAGTATCTCACTAAAAATGAAATTTTTGTTACAGGTGATCCCCAAAATCTGACGTGTATTTTAGTGCAGACTTTTGGAAAAATCAGTGAGCCAATCACACAAGCAGGAAATTAATTTTTTTTTTGGGGGGGGGCTGTCATATTGCATTGCATTTTACAGAAAATTTCAAACGCTGCAGATTGAAAAATAATAAATATTCAGTTACTGTACAATAAGACTTGTGTTGCATTTGTATACGCTATGTTATTTTTTAATTGTCACTATTTGCCCCACAAAAGGGGAGTTACACTTTAAGGAAAGCAATGAAAATAAAAGGGACTCTGTATATTTCAGTTAACAACTTTACATATTCCGTGTATCTCACTTAAGTAGGAAAAGTGGATTTCTTTCAAATGAATGCTACAAACCACACATCCTCTCTGCTGCTATCTAACTGTAATCTCATGCTCATCTATGGATATATATTTTACGGCTACAATCCAGGAAATGAATATTCTTGTATGACCAGATTCCTGTGCTAGCTAGAAAAAAGTTCCCATGCCTAAAATAGCGCTAGTATCTGGAATGTTTGGTATATTTCTAGTCTGACAGCAAGAAAGCTATGAGGAAAAGTGTGATCAGATCCTAGATGACACCGCTAAAATAAATAGAATGGAACTGTGCCTGGCTTCCTTTGATCTACTGAACTTACATCATCCTCTTTGGTTCCACCCCAGAAATTTGTGCCACCGGCGTAACTAGGAATGTTTAACACTGCAATACCCTGGAGGCTGGGTAGAGGGATGTACTGCCCATCACACTGTAGAAAAAAAAATAAGAACAATGAGGAACATTATAAACATCAAGAAAGATTGATTGTACATGAAGAAAAGTTAAAGCTATAGGCTGAAGACAGTCAAAGTAATGAACCAAAACATGTAATCCCCTGCTGAGTGACTTGCCCATCAGACAGGATAAACGACATTTCTCAGCAGTTAAGGGAAATTTCAGGGATTGTTATACAGTGCCTTGAAAAAGTATTCTTACCGTTTGAAATTTTCTACATTTTGTCATGTTACAAGCAAAACAAATGTATTTTTTGGGGATTTTATGTGATAGACCAACACAAAGTGGCACATAATTGTGAATTGGAAGGAAAATGATAAACAGTTTTCAAAATTTTTTGCAAATAAATATGTGCAAGTCTTTTGGGCATGTACAGTGGGGCAAAAAAGTATTTAGTCAGCCACCAATTGTGCAAGTTCTCCCACTTAAAAAGATGAGAGAGGCCTGTAATTGGCATCATAGGTAGACCTCAACTATGAGAGACAAAATGAGAAAAAAAATCCAGACAATCACATTGGCTGATTTGGAAAGAATTTATTTGCAAATTATGGTGGAAAATAAGTATTTGGTCACCTACAAACAAGCAAGATTTCTGGCTCTCACAGACCTGTACCTTCTTCTTTAAGAGGCTCCTCTGTCCTGCACTCATTACCTGTATCAATGGCACCTGTTTGAACGTGTTATCAGTATAAAAGACACCTGTCCACAACCTCAAACAGTCACACTCCAAACTCCACTATGGTGAAGACCAAAGAGCTAGCGAAGGACACCAGAAACTAAATTGTAGACCTGCACCAGGCTGGGAAGACTGAATCTGCAATAGGCAAGCAGCTTGGTGTGAAAAAATCAACTGTAGGAGCAATAATTAGAAAATGGAAGGCATACAAGACCACTGATAATCTCCCTCGATCTGGGGTTCCACGCAAGATCTCACTCCGTGGGGTCAAAATGATCACAAGAACGGTGAGCAAAAATCCCAGGACCACACGGGTGGACCAAGTGAATAACCTGCAGAGAGCTGGGACCAACGTAACAAAGGCTGCCATCAGTAACACACTACGCCGCCAGGGACTCAGATCCTGTAGTGCCAGACGTGTCCCCCTGCTTAAGCCAGTACATGTCCGGGCCCGTCTGAAGTTTGCTAGAGAGCATTTGGATGATCCAGAAGAGGATTGGGAGAATGTCATATGGTCAGATGAAAACAAAATAGAACTGTTTGGTAGAAACACAACTCGTCGTTTTTGGAGGAGAGAGAATGCTGAGTTGCATCCAAAGAACACCATACCTACTGTGAAGCATGGGGGTGGCAACATCATGCTTTGGGGCTGTTTCTCCGCAAAGGGACCAGGACGACTGATCCATGTACAGGACAGAATGAATGGGGCCATGTATCGTGAGATTTTGAGTGCAAACCTCCATCCATCAGCAAGGACATTGAAGATGAAACGTGGCTGGGTCTTCCAACATGACAATGATCCCAAACATACCACCGGGCAACGAAGGAGTGGCTTTGTAAGAAGCATTTCAAGGTCCTGGAGTGGCCTAGCCCAGTGGTCGGCAAGCCGTGGCTCGCGAGCCACATGCGGCTCTTTGCACACTTTAATGCGGCTCTTCTGTGTGCCGGGCGCCCGCTCCCCTCCCTTCTCTCGGGTGGCCGCCCCAAAAGTCAGGACTCTGCAACTAGCCCAGCAATGTGCAAACTACGGCCCGGCGGACCTTTTAATCCGGCCCGCGGAGTGTGGCAAACATTGTCTGTCAGGATGTAGGCGGGGCAGCGTGACGAACTCCTCTCCTCTCACAGTCCGCCCTGAAGACTGGAACGGCGCGGGAACACGGCGATAGGAACGCGCGGAGCAAAGGTAAGTGAATTGACACAATATGGGGAATGAATTAGTATAGGGGGGATGAATTACTTACTATTATGGGGGATGAATTACTGTATGGGGGATGAATTACTGTATGGGGGATGAATTACTATGGGGGATGAATTACTATATGGGGGATGAATTACTATATGGGGGATGAATTACTATGGGGGATGAATTACTATGGGGGATGAATTACTATATGGGGGATGAATTACTATATGGGGGATGAATTACTATATGGGGGATGAATTACTATATGGGGGATGAATTACTATATGGGGGATGAATTACTATATGGGGATGAATTACTATATGGGGGATGAATTACTATATGGGGGATGAATTACTATATGGGGGATGAATTACTATATGGGGGATGAATTACTATATGGGGGATGAATTACTATATGGGGGATGAATTACTATATGGGGATGAATTACTATATGGGGGATGAATTATTATATGGGGGATGAATTACTATATGGGGGATGAATTACTATGGGGGATGAATTACTATATGGGGGATGAATTACTATGGGGGATGAATTACTATGGGGGATGAATTACTATATGGGGGATGAATTACTATGGGGGATGAATTACTATGGGGGATGAATTACTATATGGGGGATGAATTACTATATGGGGGATGAATTACTATATGGGGGATGAATTACTATATGGGGGATGAATTACTATATGGGGGATGAATTACTATATGGGGGATGAATTACTATGGGGGATTAATTACTATGGGGGATTAATTACTATATGGGGGATGAATTACTATATGGGGGATGAATTACTATATGGGGGATGAATTACTATATGGGGGATGGGGGATGAATTACTATGGGGGATGAATTACTATGGGGGATGAATTACTATATGGGGGATGAATTACTATAGGGGATGAATTACTATATGGGGGATGTATTTTCAGTTTTAAAAATGTGGCTCTCAAAATAAATTTCAATCGTGGTTTTGGCGAGATTTGGCTCAGTTGAAAAAAAAAGGTTGCCCACCACTGGCCTAGCCAGTCTCCAGATCTCAACCCCATAGAAAACCTTTGGAGGGAGTTGAAAGTCCGTGTTGCCCAGCAATAGCCCCAAAACATCACTGCTTTAGAAGAGATCTGCATGGAGGAATGAGCCAACATACCAGCAACAGTGTGTGCCAACCTTGTGAAGACTTACAGGAAACGTTTGACCTCGGTCATTGCCAACAAAGGATATATAACAAAGTATTGAGATGAACTTTTGATATTGACCAAATACTTATTTTCCACCATAATTTGCAAATAAATGTTTTCTAAATCATCCAATGTGATTGTCTGGATTTTTTTTCTCATTTTGTCTCTCATAGTTGAGGTCTACCTATGATGCCAATTACAGGCCTCTCTCATCTTTTTAAGTGGGAGAACTTGCACAATTGGTGGCTGACTAAATACTTTTTTGCCCCACTGTAACTACCAGCTTTGCAAATCTAGAGAGTGAAATTGTTGCCCATTCTTCTTTGCAAAATAGCTCAAGCTCTGTCAGATTGGATGGAGAGCATCTGTGAACAGCAATTTTCAAGTCTTGCCACAGATTCTTAATTGGATTTAGGTCTGGACTTTGACTTGGCCATTCTAATGCATGAATTGATGCTTTGATCTAAACCATTCCATTGTAGCTCTGGCTGTATGTTTAGGGTCTTTCTCCTGCTGAAAGGTGAACCTCCGCCCCAGTCTCTAGCTTTTTGCAGACTCTAACAGGTTTTCTTCTAAGATTGCCCTGTAATTGGCTATATCCATCTTCCCATCAACTCTGGCTAGTTTCCCTGTCCCTACTAAAGAAAAGAATCCCCACAACATGATGCTGCCACCACCATGTTTCACGGTGGGAATGGCGAGTTCAGGGTGATGTGCAGTGTTAGTTTTCCGCCACATGTAGCGTTTTGTTTTTAGGCCAAAGAGTTCAATTTTGGTCTCATCTGACCAGAGCACCTTCTTCCACATGTTTTCTGTATCCCCTATATGGCTTCTCGCAAACTGCAAACAGGACTTCTTATGGCTTTCTTGCCACTTTTCCAAAAAGGTCAGATTTGTAGAGTGCACGGACTAATAGTTGTCCTGTTGACAGCTTATCCCATTTGAGCTGTGAATCTTTGCAGCTCCTCCAGAGTTACCATGGGCCTCTTGGCTGCTTCTCTGGATTAATGCTCTCCTTGCCCAGCCTGTCAGTTTAGGGGAACAGCCATGTCTTGGTAGGTTTACAGTTGTGCCATACTCTTTCCATTTTTGGATGATGGATTGAACAGTGCTCCGTAAGATGTTCAAAGCTGGGGATATTTTTTTTTTTTTTTTTTACAACAAAACCCTGCTTTAAACGTCTCCACGACTTTATCTCTGACCTTTCCGGTGTGTTCCCAGGCCTTCATGATGCGGTTTATTCACTAATATTCTCTAACAAACCTTTTAGGGTTTCACAGAACAGCTGTATTTATATTGAGATTAAATTACACACAGGTGGACTATTTACTAATTAAGTGACTTCTGAAGGCAATTGGTTCCACTAGATTTTAGTTAGGAGTATCAGAGTAAAGATGGCTGAATACAAATGCACACCACACTTTTCAGATATTTGTAAAAATTTTTGAAAAAGGCAAACAAGAGAGTTATATAGAAAAAAATAATCAATTTATGAGCCCACCTCTTAGTCTGCTGCACATCAACAGCTGCAAGCTGAACAATCAGATATTATTTTAATGGTTGTGGGACTCTCAAGTAAAACTCTATTCCACTGCACAAGCGTTAAAACAGCATGATGCACTCTGTGTTCATGAAGCAAAAAAAAAAAAAAAAAAACACAACCGGTTTTAATTGCCAGCCTCTTTATTGTTTATTTAATGATGTTGTTCCACACTTAACATGATATTAAAGGATTGTTTTTTTGTTTTACTTGCCTGCTCTGTACAATGGTTCTGCACAGAACAGCCGCAATCCTCTTCTCGGGTCCCACCCCAGCGCTCCGGGCCCTTCGCTCCTACCAAGTGGCCCCACAGCAAGCAGCTTGCTGTGGCTCCCAAGCCACTGCTCTGTGTTTATACACAAATGGAGCATTGCTCGGCCTCAACCCCATTCTCGCCTTATTGGCTCACTGGCTGTGATTGACAGTAGTGGGAACCAATGGCTACCGCTGCTCTAATAGCCAATGCAGAGGTAGAAGCGCGTGATAGCCATCGTTGCCTTGTGGGATGCACATTGCTGGAACAAGATGGGGCTCAAGTAAGTGTTGGAGGGCTGCAAGATTTTGCACCAACATGAATTTCAGCTCAAAAGTAAAAGAAAAAAAACAAAAACTATCAGTAAAAGGGGAGCCATTATATTTATATTAATTTTTGTGCCTTGCTTTGTTTACCTTACATAATCACAGGAGGGAGATCAACAATCTATAAAAAAAATTTTAACCAAACTGACCAGATTAAATTCTTCAAAGTGTCAACTGACTAGAGTTTATTAGCTGCCAACCACCAATCTTTTTCAAGTTACCGACTGGATATATGCATAGACAGATGAATTAAACCAGTCAACCTAGATTCCAGACAAACAGAGTACATTGGAATAGGTTTTCTTTTATCAGGGTGAGCTCAAATACATTTTAGATCCCAATCTGATACGATATGGCTCCAACCTAATACATTGGGTAAAATAAGTGCTGAACACGTCATTTTTCTAGGTAATATATTTCTAAAGGTGCTATTGACATGAAATTTTCACCAGGTCGCTTAACACCCATGCAATTCATACATACAAAGAAACCAAAACAAGTTCAGAAATTAATTTATGTGTAATAAAATGGAATGACACAGGGAAAACTTATTGAACATGCCAACTGAAATTTATTTAATACTTCGTACAAAATCCTTTCTTGGTAATGACAGCTTAAAGACACCTCCTGTATGGAGAAACTAGTCACATGCATTGCTTAGGTGTGATTTTAGCCCATTCTGTCACAGTCTTCAAATTTTGAAGGTTCTGTGGGCCTCTTCTATGAACTCTTATCTTTAGTTCTTTCCATAGATTTTCCATTTGATTCAAGTCAGGGGATTGGCCATTCTTGCAGCTTTTTTTTTCTTTGAAACCAATTGAGAGTTTCCTTGGCTTTGTGTTTGGGATCATTGTCTTGCTGAAATATCCACCCTCGTTTCATCTTCATCATCCTGGAAGATTGCAGCAGATTTTTATCCAGAATGTCTTAGTACATTTTTCCATTCATCCTTCCTTCAATGACATGAAGTTTGCCAGTACCGTATGCTGAAAAAGAGTCCCATGCCATGTTGTTCCCACCTCCAAGCTTCACTGTTGGTATGGTGTTTTTGGAGTGATGTGCAGTGTCACCCCTTTGATAATGAGCTTGGAGCTCGAAACATGTTAGGGGATCCACCCAGCAGACGCCAATAACCACCAGGGAACCACTGACTAACAGGGATCCTTGAACATGCTTGGAGAGTACCTGATATTAACTCTGTGAGTTGTATGCTGATTTTATTTTTGAATTATCAGAATAAAGACGTGCTTCACTATTAGTACCATTTTGCCTTTTGGCTCGTTATTTGCGAGCCGTGCAAGGTGGACCATCTCAGGAGAAGTACCACCAGGAGGCTGGACGTCATTGGACCCACCGGTGAACCAGATGTGACCCCCGAGTGTTTACCGTGGATGACCGGTTACTGTTCGCATTGCTGTCCAGGCCTTTCCAGTCGCTGATGGTATACCTGATGACATGCATACAACGCTCAGTTTGTATGTTCCTGTGGTAAGCGCATTATTGTACTAGATTCTTCAGGATTTATGATCAAGTGAACATCTGAAGCTCCTGCTATTTGTGTATATTTCACATGTGTTCAATCCACAGGAACTTTTTACTGTGTTTATTCATCACATAACAGACTTTTTATACTCAAGTTATGTTCCAGCGAATATGCTGAGACTTAGTGTTTAGTATTACATCATGTATTTATGGCGCTGCATATTCTAATTATTTGCAGTGTCATATGACCTCCAAACATGGTGTGTATAATGACATCCAAAGAGTTCAATTGTGGTCTCATCTGAACAGACTATATTCTCCCAGTATCTCAGGCTTGTCTAAATGTTGTGCAGCAAACTTCAAACGAGCTTCAACATGCTTTTTCTTCAGCAATGGGTCTTGCGTGGCGAGTGTGCATACAAGCCACAGAAGTTGAGTGCATTATTGTTTTCTTTAAAACAATTGTACCTAATTCCAGGTCTTTCTGAAGCTCTCCACAAGTGATCCTTGGCTCTTGGACAAGACTTCTAATAATTCTTTTCACTACTCTGACAGAAATCTTGCGAGGAGCACCTGGTCGTAGCCGGTTTATGGTGAAATGATGATAATTCCACTTCCGAATTATGGTCCCAACAGTGCTCACTGGAAAATTCAGAAGTTCTCCTGTAACCAATGCCATCAGTATGTTTTACAACAATAATGTTGCAAAGGTCTTGAGAAAGCTTTTTACTTTTACCCATCATGAGATGTTCTTTGTGTAACACCTTGGTAATAAGGCACATATTTATAGGCCATCAGTTGAGACTGAACCAGCTGATATTAATTTGCACTGACAAGGGGCAGGATTGCTTTCTAATTACTGATAGATTTCAGCTGGTGTCTTCATGTATGTTCAATACTTTTTCCTTGCGTCATTCCATTTTATTGCACATAGCTTAATTTCTGAACTTATTTGTTTTGGGTTCTTTGTGTATATGGATTGCATTGGTTGTCATCAACGTGGTGAAAATTTCATGGCAATACACCTTTAAAAATATATTTACTGAGAACAATGGTGACATGTTCCATCACCTATTTTACCAGCTGTATCAGCTCTCATTTCCAGACACCAACACCATTATGTTCTACAGGATTACCTCAAGTTGAACCTTTTGCTCTAAATTCTTGTAGGTTCTCTGCAGCAATTCTTTGGTGCCAAGTACTCCATACCACATCATGTTTTTGGTTCTGCTTCTGAAACAACACAATTAAGATGGTGTTAAACAGACCAGAAAGGAACAAATAGGTTGAATATTTGCAGAGAGTGGATAAAATAACAGATATAACACCAACATGAAAAAAGTTTAATGTTAAATTGCCATAAAGGAGATAAGATTTTACTTTATTGGCTAAGTATGTACAGAAATACAAGGAATATATTTTGGATTTAATGTTTAAAATGGCTCTCAGTGTACTTTATCTATATGTGTGCACTTACACACCCACATTAAGACACCACAGTATGCAAGTCTTAAGCCGGCCATAGATAAATTGAATCTCAGGCGTTCAACAGGGAACTGCCAAGATTATATCTACCTAGGGGCTGGCTGGTTGTACCCAAGTCAATCCATCCATCGACTCGGGTACAACCAGCCTGTCTTGATTTTTTACATGTAATTATTGCTGGCGGCTACAGCCCATAGCAGTAATCTTAATGTTCTGCCAGCAGGAAAGGCTCCGAGCAAGCAGAAAACAATAACAATCCGGGAGGGATTCCCCCATTGACAGTGACTGTGTTGCTGGGAAAATCAAGCAATTTTCTTTCCTGCAACCTGTGGCAGCAGGAATGAAAATCAAATCATCTATGACTTAGTTATGCACACACCTTCTTCACACAAAATAACACCAAAAAACAGACTCACTTTTGTCAACATCTAAATGCTGAAGTAATACAAACAGTGCAAAATGCAATTGTGCACACGAGGATTTATGAGCGTGATTTGTGAAAAAAAATGTTCATGTCTGGTAGTCCTGGCTAACAGTGATTCGTAACACTTACCAGAAGGAAGCAGTTGCAACTGATAATGTCCAGATGTGAGGAGTTGCAGTGCTCGTTTCCTAGCCGGAGATGTACAAGTTCCTGGCACGTGGGCAGGTCTGCACCAATTATTTTGTTTCTGCAGATCTAACTGTCCACTGTAGTCTCCTCTTACCATGCTTGGAGATCAAACTGATCCAAACCGTGATAGAAACACAAAAATACTAATATTGCAGGGTCAAATCATATCAGCTAATCATGAGACAGGTTGAACTTCCAGGGCAGATATAGGAAGTACATTCTTTGCTGGGCTTTTTAAGTTTGTGTCAATTGTTGTTGGAGTACAGATTCCAGGAATCTGAAGGTCTCCACAGTCAACAGAGAACTGTTGAATATGGTGAGAGGCGACATTGTGAGCTCCTCCTGAAATCGACCATCATCTCCATTGTTTTGTGCAAGTTCTTACCAGTGCACCACAGGGCCCGCAATTCTAGTTCATGCCTGTGTGACTCATCACCATCTCAGAATAGACTGATGACAGCTGTGTCACTTGCCTATCTTAATCACCTTAACCGGGGAATTCCGTTACGTGCTGAGGGACAGCACATGTCCTTGGGGAGTGCAAGTAATAGCGGTTTGGGTGCCGGAAAGGAGTTTCCTCAGCTCCACCTGCTGTTTGTCTGTTAGGAAGTTGGTAATCCAATGGCTGGTAGAGGTGGGCGCAGAGAGCTGGGTGAGTTTGGAGTGGAGAATCTCTTTAGTTACAGTGTTGACCGCGGAGTTAAAATCCACAAACAGGATCCGTGTGTACACCCTATGCTGTCAGTATCTTTCAATGACTTATTTACCATAAAGACAAGCTACAAGGGGACCTGTGATGCCTCTCAATTAACCTCATGACTACCAGTGTCAGTGCAACAGGGCCTGTAGTTATTTAGTCCCGTGACTAGATTTTGTAAAGGGTATTTGCACTTTTGAAGTCAAATTTGAGAAAGTTCCACTATAAATTATGTACATGTATAATGTGTCCACATTCCACACTGTATATCTAAAAAATGTCTTACCTTTTATATGGAGAAGGAGACAGTGTCATGGCTGGACAGTGTTACAGTGTCTTTGTTCACCACACAAAGTGAGCTATACTATAATACAACACAATGCAGAAGGGTGGATTTTAAATCCTTAATTCTTTGTCTAGGCCCATGTTAAAATCTAGTTTATAGCCAATTATGAAAAACTGAACACATGACAAATAGGGTTAATTATGTTATGCATTACTCCACAGCTCCCTCCTAAACATTACAAAGCATAGGAGAGCAGTGGGTGGCACATGCAGCCTCAGTCATGTGCATACATACATGATTGAGCCTGCTGCGGTTTAGGAGCACGTCCCTCCAGTGACTGCTGCGGTAATTAACCAGGTATCGTGTGATTCCCATGATTGGTCATAGTGAACACATAACAATGTAAACAACCTGTCATGAATGGCTTTCCATTCATGAATAGCTTGCTTACTGTCGTGATCTGTGATTGGCCCACAGCAAATCACAAGCTACCTGGCTACCTGTACCATTTGATTAGCTTAGCCAATCACAGATCAAACGCAAGCTTTTCATGAATGGCAAACCCAATCATGACAGCTAAAGATATTGCATATACAGTATAAGCAGTAACCGTGTAAAAAAAAAAAAAAATCCCAGATCACTTTCCCCAGAGTAGTAGTTTCACTATGATGATAATGAACTACTCTGGTGACCACATTTGAAAATAAATGTTAGGAATATTTTTTTTTTTTTTTTTTACATACTGTCATCTGTTAGTATTCCTAATCACCGCCAAACCAGTCACATGACGATGCTGCACTGATGAAAGTATGTAAAAAACAAATTACAACTTCAAAAAAACTCACCATGCCTCTTACTAAATACCTCAGGCTGTATTTAGTCTGAGGTATTCAGTAAAAGACTGTCATCAGTCAGTATCTCTGATCACCGCTACACCAGTCATGATGCCATTGTAATGCAACGGTGACAGTATGTAAAAAAAAAAAAAAAAAAAAAAAAATGATATTTAATTTCTTCATTTTCCAAAAAAGCATGACAAAAAAATTGACACTGTACTGCACTCTGTTGATGGCATGTAAGAAAAAAAAAAAAGGAAAAAAAATGTAATTTCTTAATTTTCATTGCCTCTTACTAAATACCTCAGACTGTCTACTTTCTGAAAAGGGTTCATTTGGGGGGTATTTGTACTGTTCTTGCATTTTAGGGCCTCTAGAAAGGAGTACTGGCAGTACATCAGGATTGCCCAGTTTTCAAATATATATATATACCATAGTTCGTAGAAGCTATAATTTTCACACAAACCAATATACACTTATTGGGATTTTTTTTAAATTTAACAGAACACATTTGAGCCTAAATTTATGAAGACATTTTAATAAATTTTATAACAAAATATATAATAAAAGATAAAAACCCAGTGGTAATCAAATACCACCTGAAAAAGCTCTATTTCTGTGATTAAATTATATAAATTTAATTTGGTTACAGTGTCGCATGACCATGCAACTGCCAGTTAAAATAGCACAGTACCGAATAATGAATGACCTGATAAAAATGACCTGATCATGAAGGGGGTAAAACCTTTCGGAGCTCAAGTGGTTAGTGGGAACATGCAACAAACAAAGTAGGCGTTATCCCAATTTGGTTGCAAAATTGGAAATACTTTTAAGACAGTTATGACTGGAGAATTTGAAGCAGGTGGGGACATCACATTACTTCAGTGATCTGGTAAAGATTCAAGTGAATCTAGGTGCCAACTGATTATCACAGACCTTCAGACAGGAGGGTGTTATTCAGTTTAGGAGCGGTGTCTTCCATAATATCTTTTGATTCTGAAATATCTGTAACACAATTTCCACAGACGCTTGACGGAAAGACAAGAGTGGGGGAGGATGGGAATATCTAAAGCCCCGTACACAAGGGCCAAATATTTGGCCCGTGTGTACACCCACCTGTCCAACAGAAGCTAACTGAACAGCCGTCTTCTGTTGAACAGGCATGCTGGAAAACCAGCTTCTGATAAGTGCTGGCAGCCAGTGCTGACCGATGTGTTCTGGGGGAGGGGGGGGGGGGGCAGTCCCCCTGTCAGAACACAGCTGGGAGATCGCTGTACTAACATCAGTTAGTTAGTACACTGAGCTCCTCCCAAGCTCTTCAGTTTTTTGTGCCCTGAGTAAGTTGGTGTGTACCCAGCATAAGTTGGAGCTGGTACGGGATGTAAATGGAAAGTTATCATGCTTCATTCATTCACACCACACGTGCAGAAAACCTGATGATAACTAACAAGCATATTTCACTTGCAGAGACATCAGTTTACATGCATGCGAGTTTTATTCACGCTGAAGATTACTGTGCAGAAAAAAATCTGCATGTGATATTAGTGTTGTGATGTGAACAGGGCACATACAGAACAACTGATTTTGTTGTGCCGTTGCAGAACGTGCAGAAAAACTGACATCTCTACACCATGGTGAGAACGATCCCTTAAACCTGGGATAAAACACATTGTTTTTTAATCGTTTTATAGTTCTCTGCAGTGTAAGAATGGGTCACTGTAGCTGGTAATGTCCAGCAGGAATCTCCATACGGACACTGCGTTTTTAACAGAAAACCGTTTCCAGTTCATCAGTGCAGCTCCTTTTTTGCTGCTCTTAACTCGTCAGCAGTTTTTGTCTGGTTGTACTTGGTTTTGTGCCCACTTCTTTAGGCTGTCTCCTTAGCCTGCATGAGCTGTTCTAGTTTGCTGTAAACCGGGACTTGGTATTGTTGAAGGTTTAAAAAAAACTTGGTAGGTACACATCCTCACAAAAGCTAGAGGTATAATCTTACAGTGTCAGTGAATTTGTCCAGGTTATTAGCTGCAGCTTTAAAAACGCTTTAGTTTATACAGTCAAAGCAAGCCTGTAGCCCCAGATTTGCTTCCTTGGTCCATCTCTTCACAGGTTTTGCAGATTTTAATTTTTGCCTACAAGTTGAAAGGGGATGAACCACGCAATGATCGAAGAGACCCACAGTAGCACAGGGAGCAGAGCAGTAAGCATTCTTTATTATAATGTAGCAATGGCTCATTGCATTTTTTATAACTTTTATTTAAAGTTTGCAACAAACTACAGATATGTCACATGTAAAAACAAACAAAAAACGAACTAGTT